TAGGTGGCAGCTCCAGGCAGGATCCTGAGCTCGGCGAAGCAGAGGCACAAGGATGCCCGAGCAGCATCACTGAGCCTGCAGGGAGATTCTGTGCACGACTTAGCAGAGGAACAGGGTCCGAGCAGGTTTGTGTGGGTGGGAATTAGAGGTGGAAAGATATCCTGCAGCAGCAGTGAGGTCTGTCTGAGGGCGTTCGGCTCCGGAAAGTGGCAGTAAGAAGTTTGGAGGTGGGAGGGTGCAGCCCTCAGCAGGGCACTGTGTTATGGACTCTGCCCGTATCCCACCGACGCTGGGAACTGCAGTGGGAGCAAAGGGCTGCCCAGGCAGCATCAGGCATTTGCTTAATAACGACCCAACATTTGTTTCGTGACAAATATAAAATTAGCGTAGGCTGAAGTGGCATTTACATCTGATTAGAAAGCAGAAAAATGCAACTGTGCTGCTTACAGGATCGGCTACAAAGCACTGATAATAAATCAAGCAAAATAAATCGGCTGCTACGGAGCTGGGAAGCCACTGCCCACTGTTCACAGTCATGGTGCAGCCCACATAATTTTCATAAATATTACTCATGGAGTCACTTCAGATGAGCTCGTAAGATCAGGGATGTTCACAGACAAGTCTGAACAGAAGAGGAAACAGTCAGTCGTAGAATCATGGAATACCAGGTTGGAAGGGACCTCAACGATCAGCTGGTCCAACCTTTCTTGGCAAAAGCATGGTCTAGGCAAGCTGGTCCAGCACCTTGTCCAGCTGAACCTTAAAAGCATCCCGTGTTGGGGAATTCACCTCTTCCCTGGGGAGATAATTCCAACGGCTGATTGTTCTCATTGTGAAAAATTTTCCTCTTGTATCCAGTGGGAATTTCCCCAGGACTAGCTTCTTGTACCCAAACAAAAGCACACTGCCAAAATTACTGGTGTAGAAAGCAGGCAGGTACTATGGGGAGCACCTACGGACCGGCAGCTCCGTGCACCCGTCCCAGGTTGGGCAGCAGCAGCTCCTCGGCCACCCGCCTGCAGGCAGCCCCGGGGCGGGGGGGTGACACCGCTGCCCCGAGCCCGGGGTCCTGCCTCTTCCTGGTGACACCCGCTCGGGGTGAAACCCCATCCCCATGAGCACGGCTGCCGTGCTGGCAGCGGTCACACGGCGATATCTCCACACCCCACGGGCACCTTCCTCCTCCCGATGGCCACGCAGACCTCAGCGCTCCTTCATCCCCTTCTTCTGGGGCACAGAGGGGGGATCCCAGGGGAGCAGGGAGGCTGTCCCAGAGCACCTACTGCTTCCCACCGCTGCCTGCACGGTCGCACACCTCCCCGAGGTGGATGGTCAGCCCTGGTCGTTGTCACACACATCATCTCTGCGGTGTCCCTTGCAAAGGGGCTCAGTCCTCCTGGGCAGGAGGGAAAGGCACTGACCTTCCTCCAAGGAAAGCCAGAGGCTGTAGCACCCCTACCCCATCCTAACAACCCCCCCCTTGCTGACCCAGCTCCACTCCCTGCACGGGTCTCCTCCATCCGCAGAGGTGAGAGGCTGGTTCCTGGGGAGCGTTTCATCCTCGCCCATTCCCTGTGGTGGTGGGTGACCCTTCACTCCTGCCTGAACCAAAGCCCGCTCGTTAGTCTAAAGATGGAGAGGTGAGGATCTTTTAAAGCCAAGGCAGTTTTGCAATGCTTACTCACTCCTTCTGTTGAAGGAAGATGTCTCCACCCTGGGCTGGAGGCAACTCCTCACCCTTCAGAGAGGAAGACCCCTTCTCCCAGGGCATCAGCCCCATGAACCAGCACCACCAGGCCACCAAGATCACAGGCAGGTGCAGATACCCTCTCTCACTGCTGGCCAGGCTTTTCTGTTCTTCAACCCCTTTTATCACCCTTCTCTGAACTCCATCCCCATCTTCCAATATCCTTCTCAGCCAGTGGATTTCTTCAGCATGAGGGATTCATCCCAATGAAATTTTGCTGTCTAAAAGTCAGGTTTCTGCTGCCCATCACCTACACCCCGCTGGGGACGGGGGCTTCCAGGAGGGAGCTGATCCCACCTGAAAAGTATGCATCAAGTCAACCGAGGTGGAGTGTTTTGTGGACGTGCTTCTTGCCCAGCGAGAAGCAGTTTGGCCCACAGGCACCTGCCTGGCAGAGCTGGTCTCGGAGACTGCCGGCACTTGGAGAGGGGTGACGAGTGTTTTCCCACACACAGACCCCTCTATCGACGTGCAGCTTGTCCGGTGCTGCTCTGAAAGGCTTTGGTTGAGGAAAAGGCAAAAGGACCTCTTTAATTAGTCTGTCACGCAGTTAATTAGGAAGCCAGGCTGTTTCAGATGGAAGCAAAGTTAGGCTTGGTCTGCCAGAGGTTTCTGGGAAAGGTGTTTATGCCAGAGCCCCGTACCCAGCCGAGATAAGTGTCCCCCAACACCTGCTCCAGCCCAGACCTCAGATGTACCCACTTGAGATGGGGATTAATGCAATTTAAATATAATCAAGCAGAAAAGCTCAAACAAGCTCACTTCATTTTCACCCCAGCAGGACTGAGGTGCAGCGGCATCTCACACATGGGGAAGCCTTCCTCCCTCCTCCTCCTCCTCCTCCTCACCCTCCCATGAGGCAGGTGATCTGCTGCTCTGCTTGGGGACTCGTGCTGCAGCCCTGGTTTGGGTGTCAGCTCCTGTGAAGGGTTAACAGGATTATAAACCTCCCTGCCTTTCTAAATCCCCTGGACCGTGGGATTGGACTGGTTATAAACTTATTAACAGAGGGCAGTGGCTGGTGGGGGCTGAGGACCCTGCTCTGCCAGACAGGTCACCTGTCTGTCCCCCCCAGATTAACTGGGGAAAATGTGAGAACGATAGCAGGAAAGTCACCCAAGTGAATCCATAAGAAGATGGGAACAAGGAGGGGAGGGAAATGCCTGGGTATGGAAAGCAACATATTTTTGGGAAAGATTTCAGAATGTGCCATCGAGCTGAGAGTGCAGCAGAGGCTTGGGAAGAGCTTTGACCTGTCCCTGGGCTGCGAACATCCCCACGCTCAAACCCAGACCCCGGCACAAGCTGTAAACACAGCAGCAATAATAATGCAAAGAGGATCGGGGGAAGTGCTGGGCCCTTGCACCCTGGCCGTGCCTGGTGAGGAGCCGGCAGTGAGTCTGCCCCCACCCGGGGCATGCACAGCGTGGTCCACCCACGAGACCCGCTCAGCATCGGTGGGCACCTTCAGGGCTGTTTTATTTCCCACCCACCGGGTTTGGCAAAGCTCCTGCACAAAAGCCACGGTTGCAGAACCTGCTTACGACCTCCAGCAGCCGCTCTCCAGAGCAGCGAAGCCGTACGGGAGAGCCCCGTGGGGTCACGCCGGCATCATCAAGGGGAGAAACCAGTGCTGAGGGATGAGCCGCTGGTCCAGCCGCAGTAATCACCGCCCTGTGCCCTGATGATGCCCGGTGAGGTCCTGCTGGCAGCTCACATTTATTTATTAAATTCCTATTTCAAATGCTAAAATTAATCTTTTAATCAGCAGCAGAGCAGGGCCATACTTATGGGAGCGCCGGGGAGGTGTTATCTCCCCACCATCTGCTCACCACCCTCTGCCACGTCCCGGTAGAGCCGCCAGACAGCCAAACCCCGGCCAGCGCATCTGGCACCCGGCACACATGGGGACCCGACCCCCGGCACACATGGGGACCCGACCCCCGGCACAAAGCTGGGCAGCCCTCAGCTCAGGCTCTCTGTCTGCACAAAGAGCATCCCAGCGGACAAAGCTGGGGGAGGTTTCAACCCCAAATCCCGGCGGATGAGCAGATTCCTGAGGTTGAAACTGGGTTTTGAGCATTTTTGCCTTGCAAGTGCAGGGAAGCAAGGTTTAGCAGCCCTGTGGAGCCGGGGATGCCTGGGGGACCCCAGTGAGAGCTACTGATGCTGCCAGGCAGGGGCGTAGCTCTGCCTGCCCCCAGACACACACCACAGCCCCATAACATCAGCACCCATCAGTGGCCCCAACCTGGCAGTGCTCCCCAAAATGCACCCCACGAGGTCAAGCCTATCCGGCACTACCTCCTTCTGACTGGCAACAGATTCTGCCTTTTCTGCACCCAAAAGCAGCAGGGAAGCAGCGGCATAGTGCCCCTACCCAACCCCTTGGGTGAAGGTAGCTGTCGCCCCAGGGTGCTGCCCTCACCAGCCTGCCTGCAGCGCCCTTATCCCTCACTCCAGTGATCTACTTCAGCAGGAGACGGACTTGTGCCCCAGCAGCATCCATGGTCGCCAGTGGCTGCAGGGTGCCCTGGGCTCTCGGTCCCCAGGGTGGACTCACAGGCTCAGCCAGCCCCAGAAAGCCTCTGCCAAACCTCAGCGTGGACCCAAGAGCCCGCCGAGGTCCCCGCTGGCTCTGGATCCGGCCCACTGACCCCCAGTTAATCGGCTAAAGCCGCATGCTCTGAACCCCGGCCCCGGCCACAGCCGTCCTCCCATCAGCTTTCTCTGCCCTACATAGACATCAGCAGCCACCCAGCACCCGCTTTCGCCTCCCGTCCCCCCCGCCGTGCCCGCCGCCTTCCCTGCACCCACGTGGGTGTCCCCGCTCCGCACCCACCTGCCCCTTGGGCACCGGCACGGGGTGGGCACGGTCCCTTTGGGGGGGCTGGTTTTGCCAGATGGGAGAGCCCAGCAGCGGGGCTGCAACAGGAGCAAGAGCACCCACAACTGCTTGCAGAGGCTGGGGGTGCTTCCTCAGCTACCGCCTGCAAAATAACCCCCTTTCCCCACCCCTGGGTGATACCAGCCTCACCTGCGGTGCTGCCCCTCCCAGGGGAGCTCAGGTGCGGGGGGACGCCCAAGAGACCCTGCCCTCCAGAGAGAGGCCACCAAAATGAACTGAATTAAACCCTGCAAAAAGTCATGGGGTCGCTGAACGCATCGCCCCCCTGACACCTCTCCCGAAGACGGGTCCGAGACGCCGAGCGATGCCCCATTCCCCAGCGTGGCAGCATCCTGCCCTGCTTACCAGTAAATGAGAGAAAGCCCATCGAAACGCTCCAGGTCGCGGCCAGGGGGACGGAGGTAGGACGTCATCCAGGGCCACCAGCCCCGCCGAGCCATTAGGGCATCCGTGGCCAGCTCCCACTGCCCGGGGCCATGAGCTCAGAGTGCCCGCGGCCGGTACGGCTCCCTGGCACGGCTCACCGGCACAGCTCCTGGCACAGCTCCCGGCCGCAGCCGGCTACATCTAATCCCAGGCTGGCAAGCATGTGATCGCCCCTTTCCCAGCTCCCCCCAAGCTAAATCCCACCGATGTCTCCAGTTCCACGGTCCCGGGCAGGCGCGGAGCCGCTGTGCCACTGCCCCCGGGGATGTTGTGGTACAGCTAATTCCCGACAGCAGGTCTGAGCCCCCTGTAGTGTCGGAGCTGCTTGAGGCACGGCACGGCGAGCGCCTTCACCGTGGGACCCCCGTGATACCCAGCAAAGGTGTCCCATCACCGGTGTGCAGCCATCAGCCGCGCACATGTCCTGCTTGCTCTGCCCAGCACGGCCCCTGGCTCAATAAACTGCGCATTTCATCTAGCAGGATAACCCCTTCACCCCACTACCAGTGAGGTCCCCCCCTCACCTTGCACTTGCAGTGGCTGTTAATGATGGTTATAATCATTAACGTTGGTTATAATCGATGGTTAACCCGCCGCCACAAACAATTTAAAGCCAATTGCAGGCGTCATCGACCTGCACTAAGCCCAGGCTGCGGTGACATGCACTGCTCCCCTCCTCCCCAGCCACTGCCAGCGGGCTTCAGCTTTTCTAATTGTTTATATAGTCTGGGACACAGTTCTTGCATGGATTTTTTCCCCCCCCTATTTAAGGTCGTCTGGTCATACCCCAGCATCTGAATGATCCTCTAGACTACTAGGAAAGTGCTGGGAGCGAGTGCCGGCAGGCAGATGGAAAATGTTTGAAGTGGGGGGGGCTCACCCATGTATAGTATCCTGGAGCGGTAGGGTCACAGCTGGCCCTGCCGTGCTTCCCCGTATCCAGCTGTGGGTGGGATGGACAGCCAGCAGGGTGGGCAGACAGCGGGACAGGTCCCAGATTCAGGGTGGTGGAAGGGACACAAATGAGCACCAACCTGCTGCATGATGCATATTTGATTTCTCCTTCTCCCCATCAGGCACGGTTCCATGGCACCACGGGGATTAGGTGAGTCCTGGGGATTACGAACTGCAGCCGGCTGTCCCTGTCCCACGTGGCCTGGGAAAGCCACCAGCCCCATCAGGGGCCAGGTCCTGTGCCCACTGCTTCCCCCAGCTCCAGGTTATTCTGGGACACATGGAACTGACTGGGGAAAACGCCAAATGGTAGAGATGGTGGCAACCCTTCTGTCCGGCCACCGCTGCCCAGCCCTGAGCCGAGGGGTCCCGTGGGCACGGCGGGTCTCTGGGGACTCGGTGGTGGCTGGTGGCATCTCCAGTCAGGGCACAAGCACCCACGGGAGATGAGTCAGGAGACCCGGTCCTTGGGGTCAGTGCAGCCACCCCAGCCCACACTGCCCACGCTGTGACGAAGAGGAGGGAGGAGGCCGGGGGGTGGACAGGGGACAGGCGGGCACAGGGCCCCCGGGGCACCCAGCAGCCACCCAGGAGGATGTGCCCATGCCCGGGGTGACAACCCCCAGGCATTTCTCACCCGGCGTTAACAAAGCTGCCTGGGAGAAGGGGGTAAATTAAGGCTGATCCCACTCAGCATCCTTTCCGAGTGCCAAAATCCTTTTCACCTGCCACCTCCCGGCCCGGTGACATGTCCCCTGAGGAGGCACAGCCCTCTGCCCGGGACAGCCGCCACTGCCGGGGCTTCGTCCCTCTTCACCTTTAGGGGTGCAGCTCTGATTTACACCCTGCCGCGGGCCAGCCCTCTGCAAAGCATCCCTGGCCTGGATCCCGGTCACCCCGTGGTACATTTTGGGGTGCAGGACCTTCCCCAGAGCCCAGCAGCCAAGGTGTGCGGGTACCCCAGGCTGGTGCGGGGAGAGCTGCCCGCTCTCAGGGTTTTCACAACCCGGGGCCGGGCGGTGCCGGGCGTGAGCCCCGGGATGGGTTTCTGCTGCCGGGAGAGGACGGGCAGCAGGGTTTACCGAAACCGCGCTGGGAGCGGGCGCAGGGGTGCCGAGGTGCCGCGGCCGGCTCGGGGCTGGGCCGGCCTCTCCCGGTCTCACCGGTTGGGATTGTCAAAGGCGGTGTCACCCCGCTCCAGGGCAGGACAGCCCTCGGGGGGGCTGCGGGGATGGCGAGGCCACCCCCCATCCTGCGCCGGTAACCAGTGGTCCAGCTCCACCCAGACACCCGGTGTCCGGGAGCATCATTTCCACCTCCCTCCTGGCAGCTGCCGGCAGCCCGCAGGGGTGCCCCACGGGTACATCCCCCCTCCTTGCCCACAGCCCTGGGGGGGGGGTCACAGCATCCCCCGAGCCAGACTGGTGGGGTGAATCATGGCAACACACTGGGGAGCGAGGCGCTGCCTTGCCCTTTCCTCCAAGGGTTTCCGAGCTGGCGGAAATGGAGCATTATCTCCCTCACCCATCAGAGGCAGCTGCCCGTGGGTGACCTCCATCTGCATATTTATACAGATGCAAACGTTACACCCCGGAAATTCCCAGCCTTTACATCATGGGCTAAAGCCTTCTGTGGACCCTTGGCCTTTTTCTCCCTCTTGATGGGTTCTGGGGAGCCAGGGTGGACCCTGCCTTGGGACATCGTGGCCAGGACCTCAGCTGCAGGGGATGCCAAAGGGGCTCCCACTGCCCGCAGCGGGACCGCTGTGATGGTTCGGGGTTCCAGGGGCTGACCCCTGGGCTCCCACAAGACCAGTGCTCCTGCATGGGTGTCCAGGGCTGCAGCACCGTGCCACACAGGAGGCGAAGGAGACACCCCCCCACCACCACCCACCCTCTCCATCCCTTCATGAGACAGGAGAATAAGGACCAAGAGCAGCTGCCACCACCTCAGATTCAACGAGAGCATCGCAATCTTAAAATCCTGATGCCACCAGCCCCATCGTACAGTGCTCAGTGCCTTTCTGAAAGCTGTGGCTGGGGACACAGGGTAGGAACCTGCCATTGTGGGGGTGTCCCCTTGTCCCTCCCCCCCCCCCCCCCCCCAGTCTGGTGCAGATGCCCCCCACCCCTCCTCAATGCCCTCTGTGTGTGCCACCGCTTGCTGCCTCCAGCCCGGCACCCCCAGCACCCCAAAGCCACCACGCCAGCACGCTCAGCCGCACCGCCAGTGACAGTGCGGCTCCTCTGCGCTGTAGCACACCAGAAGGATGAGGAAGAGCCAAATTTAATTTATTCCACGCTGCATTTTCATGCCAAATGAGTCAGAGCGCCGGCCTCGCTCAGCCTTTGTTTTGCTTGGCTGCTAGCGCCAGCTTTTGCTTAGTGCTTGTTCAATATTTAACTCCCTTGATGGCACTTGGGCTCAAACCAGCAAGTGCAGCAGAAAAAGACACTTCCCTGCTGGGGCAGGAGCTTTCTTGTCCTTCGGCTCCACTTGGGAGCAACGCACTTGTTTTATTCTATTTATTCTATTCTCACAGCTTGATGAAGCCCTGAGCTTCAAGCCACTGCATCCCACGAGACCTGTTTAAAGCTATCGAGGCTCGCAGGGGCTGCAGGATGGGGCCAGAGCAGCCAGCCTGGCTGCTGATTTCAGAGCAAACCCAGCCTTAAACGGAGCTGAGGGAGGTTTCGCCCGGCACAAGACCAGTTAGGAACGAGCAGGGCTGCATTCCAGTGCACGTGGGAGCTGGCGAGAAGGAAGCAGCAGCACCGAGGTGTTTCGGTGCCCTGCTTTGCCACGCCACACTGCCTGTGAGCGGGAACTCCCTTCCCACCCTGACAGCCACCAAACCCCTGACACGAGAGCGAGTGGTTCAGCTGGCCCCTCCAAGGGCTGTCAAAAAGTCCCACCCAGAAAATAAAGGAGGTTTTGGCTGATTCACTGTTGGTTTGTGTTCCACCGAGCGTCTCAGCTTTTGGAAGAAATTTCCAAATTGTTTTGCCCCTACTCCCCCAGCTGAAGCTAAATCGTAAAATTCTTAATTGAGAAACGCCGCTGAGAAGCCTCCAGGGCTGAGTAGCCGCGTGCCCAGCTCCTCCTCTGCGACAGGTCCCCAAAACCCTTCAATAGCACAGGATGTGCCGGTGCTACGGTGCCTTTCGGGGTGCCCGGGGAGGGGGGATGCCGCTGCCACGATGCTGGCTTGACCCCACCGAGCCCCGATGCCTTCCCGAATTGGGATGGGCTCGCGGGGGGCGCGGCGGGATGGCCAAGCCCGTCGTGAAGGCGTTAGCGAGGAGCCAGACCCCGGCAGCTGATGCCCGTCCTGCACCCCTGGGCAGCGGGGTGGGCTCGGCCGGCGGCGATGGGGAGGCTGTGGGGTGGAGCAGGGCGAGCTCAGCCGGGAGTGGGATTTACGCCAGCAAAGGCCACGCCAGGAAAATGCAATCTCGTTGCGCAAAACGTGCTCCTCTCCCGCTCCCCTCCCGCAGAGGCGGCTCAAGAGCTTCTTACCCAGGTTAAGTCAATATTACCGCATTGCTGGCTCTGCCAAGGTGCTCGCCCCCCCACCCCCCCACGGAAGGAGCATGGTGGGTGCTTTAAGGGCTGGAGAGGGGTCACGGGAATGTGGCTGGGTGGGGGTCCCCAGGAGCAGCACCCCTGGGGCTTGGCATCCCCCCACGAGCTGCGGGTTGCCTCGCGGTGGGGCCCGGCGCTGCTCAGCAGCTCCGCGGGCACAACGGGGTGAAAGCCCCCTCCCCAGCACAGGCTCCTGGCTGGCAGGACACTCCTTGATGTTCAAGGGACCTCAGAGGAGCCGGTGGCACCAGGTCCAGGTACTGGCATGGGGTGTGCCAGGTCTGGCAGCAGCAGGAGCTGGGGGTGGGGAGGGTGGGCACGGAGCACAGCAGGGACCAGCTGCATCAGCAAAGCTGCCAAAATGCTCGTTTGAAAAATAAATGCTGGAAAAAAAAAAAAACAAAAACAAAAACAACACAACAACAACAAAAAAAAAAAAAACAAAACCAAACAAAACAAACTAAAAAAAACCCAACAACACCCTCCTGTCTTGGTTCTGAGCTGCAGCTCCAGCAGACCCCAGCTGGGGAGGAAACCTCAGCACGGGGTGTACAGTGCTTTGGGCAGGCACCGGAGCTCGTACGAGAGCTGCCAGCCCCCCCAAAC